CTTTAGGCAAATTAATCCCATCTTCAGCTGGCAGGTGATGTCCATCCTTTCTTTCCTTCAGCTTCTCCTACCCGCTGGTGACAAGCAAAGGTTCCCTGTCTCAACTGGTGACTGAGCAACATTTTCTGCCTGAAGAAGCTGACCGTGCCCTCTTGTGGCAAAGTGAACCAACGGTGTCCGGGGCTGCGTGAGGGAGAACGCTGCCAGCAGGTCGAGGTGATCCTTCTCCTCCGCTCCGTACCTGGCGAGGCCACGCTGGAGTGCTGTGTCCAGTTCTGGGCTCCCCAGTACAAGAAAGACAGGCGTTAACTGGAGTCCAGCAAAGGGCCACGACGGTGACTGAGAGACTGGAGCATCTTTCACCCAAGGAAAGGCCGAGAGTGCTGGGACTCTTCACCTGGAGAGCAGAAGGCTCAGGAGGGATCTTACCAATATGCGTAAGTGATGAATATTTATATGCAGGGGTGCCCAGTGACAGGACAGAAGACTGTTGTGGTTTGAACTCGGGCAGTAGCCAAGGGCCACATGGCCAGTTGTTTACTTTCCCCCCACAACCCCCCTCCCTGGTGAAATAAGGGAGGGACAAAAGAAGAAATTTGTAGGTTTGAGGCAGAGAAATGATTACTTATTTTGAGACTTATTTACTTATAGCAAACTGCTTAGCAACTTATTTACTTACTTAACAGCAACTTAATTTCTGAATATTGCTAAGAATCCTGCTTGCCCAGACTGCTCTCGGGAATGTTACCAAGGACTGCTGTGTTCATCAAAACAAAGCAGTTCACTGGGAAAATCCACCAAGAACTGCAGCATTCAGCAGAATATCATGGTTTTGTCCTTGGGGAACAGGTGTGCTCTAACTAGTTGGCTCTTGGTGACGAGTAAAGATAGACATGTATGGACGGGAGAAGTTCCATTGGGTCTCTTAGATAGGACAGAATGAATAAACCAGCTGACAAACACTCTTGTTATTCCAGAAACTGGCCAAGAGAATCTGCACATGCTCTGGGGAAAAGCACAAGGTGAGAAAGACTCTGAGCCTTCCACCCAAAGCCCCCCACCTCCAGAGACACCCCCCAGGAGGCAATGGGCAGGGGCCAAGAGAACATCAACTGCTGACACCAGCCTCTAGAACTAACCCAGCCTCACGCCTGCACGTGGGTGTTTGTGTGATGGAACCCCATGAATATGGATATCCACACTCGGTGAGGTTGGGGTAAAATGAAAACATCTGAAAACATCCACTGTTCTATCTGTACCCGTGGTTCTACCCCTTGAACAGGAAAAAGAAGCAGCAAGATAATTGTCACAAAGACAGAGGTGAGGTTTCTGCACTGGATGTGATCTCTGAGTCAGTTCCTTTCCGTATGACATTGCAGACCCAATCGGAGGGCGGGGGGGGGGGGGGGGG